TTAACTTATATTCTGTCCTTTGCCCTTGAATAAAAAATATTGCCAGTCAACAAACACAGCTGAAAACCAAACTTTAAAAAAACAAATCACTTACTTATGGGAAATGGATTAGGTCCATTCCCACTCTTCCGTAAGCTGGGAAACTCCAAGCTATAATTAATCTAATAATAATATTCTTTCCAATGGCTGCTAGAATCCTCTGTGACATCCAAAAGCCCCCAAATCTAAACTATTCAGAGAAAAAGGCAAACTAGACAATCTTGCTCAGTATTCAGGGCAGGGGGTATAGCATCTGAGTCAGGAGTCTGCTCTCTCTCTCATACCCCAGACCTGACTGCCTGGATCTGTGAAGTTATTCTTAGTAACTCTCAGGTTTCACTCTAGCACATTGAGCACTCTCAAGTGGGTATGCTATTTTTTTATTTTGCCTTTCACTTGACTCCTTGCCTCCTCTTCACTGTGATTTTTTTTTTTTTTTTTAAGAGACAGAGTCTTACTTTGTCACCCTCGGTACAGTGCTGTCACAGCTCACAGAAACTTCCAGCTCTTGGGCTTAGGCGATTCTTTTGCCTCAGCGTCCGGAGAGGCTGGGACTACAAGGAGCCCACCACAACACCCGGCTATTTTTTGTTGCTGTTTAGCCAGGGCCGGGTTCGAACTTGCCACCCTCAGTATATGGGGCCAGCACCCTACCCACTGAGCCACAGGCGCCACCCTTCACTGTGATTTTTAACTTTTTCTTCAATTGGATTTATGTTTCCTTTGGCTCCTGCCTTGTCTTGTGAGACAACTCTGATTAGTCCTACTACAGAAGATTCACCTAACTTACAACTTCGAAGTGCTACTCTGGAGGAGGACAAGGTGACAGAACTAATTGCTAAGGTAATGAGCTGCAAGAAATAGTAAGATAGGAATCTAAGGTAACATACTTATTACCTTCAGCAGTAAGAAAACTGAATGAGGAGATAAGGAATATCAATTTCTTCCCCTTTCAACTATGTTCACTACTCTTTTGTAAACTAAGCACATCTATCAGGGAGCACAAGAACCATCAACAATTTGGGGTTTTTTTTTTCCTTTTTTTCTTACAATTTGGGTTTTTTTTCCTCCCCACTGACCAATAGAGAACACAGATAATGAGGACAGGTACTATAATATGTAATTCCTAGAATTATATGAGGATAGATTAGCTACCATCTTCTCACTAAGCAGGTCTTTAAAAACATCAGCAAGCTACCTCACACCTGTCAGAATGGCAATTATGAAAGTGAAAGATAAACGCTGTCAAGGATGTGGAGAAAAAAGAACTGTTACACAGCTGATGGAAATATAAATTAATATAGCTACAGTGAAAAGAGTATGGCAGTTCCTAAAACAACTAAAAATAGAGTTACCATATGATTCAGCAATTCCACTTCTGGGATTTGAAATCAGTTTGTCACAGAAATACCTGCACTCTCATGTTTATAGATTCATTGTTCACAGTAGCCAAAATATGGAATCAACTAATGAACAGATAAGGAAAATGTGGTGTATATACAAAAGTGAATATTATTCAACCTTAAAAAGAGGGAAACTGTCATTTGCAACAACATGGATGAACCTGGAGGACATTATGCCACATGAAATAAGCCAGGAACAAAAAGACAAATACTGCCTATTCCTACTTATAGGCAGAAGCTAAAAAAAAAATTTACTTGGGGCGGCACCTGTGGCTCAAAGCAGTAGGGTGCCAGCCCCATATGCCAGAGGTGGCGGGTTCAAACCCAGCCCTGGCCAAAAACTGCCAAAAAAAAAAAA